TTGATAAAAATGAATAACTTGCATAGACAGAAACAGACTCAGAAACGTAAAGATTTAGAAGAGGAGATTAAATTAAAAGAGAAACTTTTAATTTCAAATCCTTTAGCCGAAAAGGTGAAAGGAGCTTTAAAACTGTTAAAAACATAATTTAATATGTTGATGGCTGATCAAGCTGCAACCAATTTATTATTTATGAAACAAAATATATTTTGTAATGCTAATAAACCAGGGAGATGGCTGGCTTATCAGTTAAGAAAGAAACAGAAACAGAGGAATATAGATAAAATAAATTATAATGGTAAATTGGTTTATCAGAAAGAATTGATTAAGAAATCCTTTTTAGAATACCATCAAAAATTATATAAGAGTGCCAATATTCAAACTACAGATATAAACAATTATTTAGGTAAAGTTAACTTTCCTAAATTAACAGAAGATCAGGAAAAAGAGATTAATGGCTTAATTACTAAAGAAGAAATTGTTACAGCTATTAAACAATTGAAATTGGGCAAAGCGCCGGGTACGGATGGGTTGACATCTATCTATTACAAAACTTTAGTAGAAGAGATGACTCAACCATTGTGTGAATTGTTTAATAACTTATTACAGGGTTTAGAGATCCCTCCATCTTGGCGTAATGCATTTGTATCATTGATTCCAAAAGATAATCAAGATCTTACATTGCCTAAAAATTACAGGCCTATATCTCTTTTAAACGTGGATTATAAAATCTTTGCAAAAATTTTAGCTAATAGGTTTATGGGGATCTTGCAGCAGTTTATACATAAGGATCAATCGGGTTTTATAACTGGAAGATATATGAAAAATAATGTTAGACAAATTATTAACTTATTAGAGTATCTAGAAAAGAATAACCAAGTCTCTGCAGGCCTGATATTTTTGGATGCTGAAAAAGCCTTTGACCAAGTGAATTGGCAGTTTATGTTATGTTTAATTAAGGAGATGAATTTTGGACAAAATATATTACAAGTATTATCTAATATATATCAAAAACAGACTGCTCAACTTATTGTAAATGGGGGTTTGTCAGAGGCTTTTGTAATAGAAAAAGGAACAAGACAGGGATGCCCGTTATCTCCGTTATTGTTTGTTTTAACATTGGAAATTTTGTTGATTAAAATTCGGGAGTCTCAAGAAATAAAAGGAATAGAAATTAATAAAAAAGAATATAAATTAAGAGCCTTTGCAGATGACTTGGTTGTTACTCTGTCTCAACCTACCTGTTCGGTGGTAAAATTATTACAATTGATTCAACAATATGGATGTGTTTCTGGTTTTAAAATTAATAATAATAAGACCAAAATATTAGCTAAAAATATGACTAATGGTGATAAACAGGTTTTAGTTAACTTAACAGATTTTGAAATTGTTGATAAGGTAAAATATTTGGGGGTCACATTATCTGCTTCTAATGCAAAACTGTATAAAAATAATTATGAAAAGCTGTGGATGGAGGTACAGAAGGATTTAAAAAACTGGAACAATCTACAGTTATCCCTTATGGGTAGAATTGCAGTTATCAAAATGAATGTCCTGCCAAAGTTTATTTTTTTGTTTCAAATGTTACCTATTTTAAAGAATGAACGTAATTTAGATGAATGGCAAAAAGGTATTAATAAATTTGTTTGGGCAGGGAAAAAACCAAGGGTGAAACTTAAAATAATGCAAGATTTTCGTGAGAGAGGAGGACTCAAGGTACCAAATATGAAATTGTATTATGATGCTGTAGTATTAACATTGATCAGCGACTGGGTGAATTTAACAAATATAGAAATACTTCATTTGGAAGGTTGGGACTTACTTTTTGGATGGCATGCCTATTTAATATTTAATAAAAAAGTGGATTGGGTTTTTAAGTCTCATATTATAAGAATCTCTTTGCTTAGAGTGTGGAGAAAGTATTATAAAAGTGACTTCAAAATACCATTATGGGCTATACCTCGGCATGCCATAGAAGGCATAAGGAAAGGGGTTAATATGGATATGGTCTCTTATGCACAGTTACTTAGATGGGATGGCCAAGATTGGCAGTTAAAATCTTTGGAAGAATTAACGCATGAAAATTTAACTTATTCATGGTTCCAATACAGACAAATAGTGGACAGATGGAAGATGGATTGTAAAATGGGCTGGCTTAGAGAAGATGAAGCTCTTTTAAAACAAGTAAGAGATCAAAGGCCAACCCATATTAAGAGAGTTTATGGGGTTTTAGTGGAATTGGACTCAGAACCTGAATTAGTTAAAGATTGTATGATTAAATGGGCACAGAATATTGGTGAAACGATTTCAATGGATACCTGGGAACTTATTTGGATAAGAAATGTTAAATTCACACAAGCGCAAAATTTAAGAGAGAATTTTTATAAGATGTTTTATAGATGGCACCTTGATCCAAAGAAAATGTCCATTATGTACCCTAATCTGCAGCCGAAATGCTGGAGATGTGGACATTTGGATGCTACTTATTATCATACTTGGTGGACGTGTAAGCATATAAAAGCTTTTTGGATTAAGATATGGTGGAATATCCAAAGAATTTTTAAACGGAGGGTAAAATTTACTCCGCAATTATTTTTACTAGGTATTGTTACTGATTGTGATGCTAAGGAGGTTATATTGATGTTAAATTTGATTACAGCCGCTAGGCTGTTAATAGGGCAATATTGGAAGAAGGAATCCTTGCCTACTTTGCAAGAGTGGTTTCACAAAGTTTCGTATCTGGCAGAAATGGCAAAGATTTCGGCTTTTTTAAAGGAGCAATCTCAAGAGAAATTCTTTGCAGTATGGGAAAAATGGATAAATTTCATACAATATAATTTGGATATGGAAAAATACCATTTAGCTTTTTTGTAACTTGTAATGATTGTTTTTTCCTTCTTTCTTTCTTCCTTTTTTCTTTACGTATTTACTTATATATATATTTTTTTATATATATGTTCTATTTTTCGTCTACTTTTTTCTTTTTTCTTTCTCTCTCTCTTTTCTTTTTCCCTTTTTTTTCTTTCTTTTTTAGTATATATTATTCATTTTAAAGCTTATGTTATGCATATTATTATTATATATATTATTATTATGACCTTTATTATTTTTATTAATTATCTTATAAATTGTAAACGTTATTTTTTAAAATTTGTTAAATAATCCTATATTCAGTTCTGGGAAGTCGGGGGGGGAGGGTGGGGTGGTTTGGGAGGGGGGGGATGTTTATTTGTAAAATTTTTGAAAAATTTCAATAAAAAAAAAAAAAAGAAAGCTGTATTTGTATGAAAAAAATGTATTGGAAGCAGTGAGAGTGCAGATTTATGAGGGACAACACCATTGGAAGAAAAATTAGAATAAGTGTCATGAGAAAAAATATTATAGAATATTACACTTATGTATAACCCCTTATATACCAATATATCTGTCTGGCTTATGCAAAGATGCTAACTATGAATCCATCTGTTCAGGATGTTTTACTACTGCAATGAGCAGAGTTGGACCAGTTACCTTAATTACCTTTTCCAATGCTATGATTTTATGTCAAAACATTTCTTTACCTAACTTGAAGGACATGGGTAACTTAGAGCACTTGGTATTGTGCTAAATGAATTCCTTTTTTCACTGATTTATTTACAATAGCACTTCAATATTTGAAGTGTACTATGGGATCATGGATATATGCCACATGTAATCTATGCTATGTGTTATTATGAACATGAATTGCATTTTATGGTCTTTTTTCTGAGAAATCAAGGCAACTTACACAGATATCTCCTTGATTATTTCTTTCCACTGCAAACACAGATAAACAAAAAAGGTTTCAAATTTGGAAATTTTCGAAATTAGAGATGGTTGTTTCAACCATTTAGGAAGTAATCCTAGCTCAAAATACGTTCAGAATGATCAATCAAGCAGGGCCACATAATGAATGTTTTGCATGCCATCAGTCACAACCAGTGCTTTTTTTTCGAAAAAAAAAAAGGGCTGGAACTCACACATGTCATACAACCTACCTTGCCTACCCTACAAGGTTCCATCCAAAAAAGGCGCCAGAACTCTGTTTTGGATGTTCTATGACAAAAAAGCCCTGGTCACAACATAACTTAGGTTGAAACCAATCCATAAGCATGCAGTGAGTTGAATGTCCCCATGAATATAGCCAGAAAGTATTTTCAAAATGTCTTATGGAATTCTATGAAATAAACTTGGAAGTCAAAAGTATTTGAAGGGAAAATTCACAGTTGAAAAATTTCAAATGGTGTTTGCAATAGGAATTATAGAAAACGAATCTATTTGCAGTCCTGCATCCTCTGAGTAACTTCTTCTCATTCTCTCTCTGTATTATTCTATGCTGAGTAACTTCTTGGTAGTTGTTCAATCAGTCTGGGCCTTCCCTTTATCTTTGAGTTATTCTCCCTATCACATTCCTAACTCTTACTTAGTTCCACCAACATTGATTTAAGGAGCTTCAGGCAAACAGTTCCTTAGCCATTTTTCAGACTCTTTTTTTTTTAGTGTTTTGAAGCTTTTCCATTTGAATATTTTCAGTGATTCAATGAACTATATTACTATTTCAGAGTTTCTTTCCTTTCAAACTGATGACTGCATGAACGGTTCTACAGAAGCCTCTTCAGTGTTCATAGACATGCTGTACGGTTCCAAAATGGGAAGAGACTTTCCTTTCTTAGGAAAATATTTCTAATTTATTTTTATTAATATATCAAATTTAGGGACTGCCTATCTCACTCCCAGATTGACTCTGGGCGCTGTACAATTAAAAACCTAACAATCATATAAATATCAATATTAATTTTGTCTCAAAACTTAACTTACTTAAAACTCTGTCTGCTTCAGTGGAACTGCCAAAGGAGTGTTTTTGACATTGCTGCTCTGTTGTTGTTGTTGTTGTTGTTGTTGTTTTGAGCTTTGAAAGTTCTCAGGAGGTTTAAATTCTGGATTAAAACAGAAGACCCAAAATGTTCTTCTTTCAAATGCAGGACTATTTCAGCAAAGACACATCACCAGGCCAATGATTTTAATATATTTGAAGGAATGGTTTGCCATGGAGTTCCCCTTGTGACCATTTTACGGGGCAAAGTGGCTTTTCAAAGTGGAGTCTTTCATATCAAAGCAGGAGAGGGGAGATACGTTCCTTGTGACCCTTTCCCAGAATATGTTTACAAGCGAATTGGGCAACGGGATCAGGTCTGTATTTATATATTGCTTCTTTTCTTGATTAAAAAAAATATTTGAGGTTTTGTATGTTTCATGAAATGGGAGGTTGCAGAATGTTCCTTTCTCTTTCCTTTGACAAAAATAGAACAATCAAACCATAGCAATTTTTATTAAGTCTTTTAACTGAACTCGTAGTTCTTATGGCTTTGAATCATATATCTGAAGGTTCCCTAATTTGTGTGGGGTTTTTTTTAAAAAAAACTTGTCTGGAGAATTCTGGGAGCGGAAGTCCACAAGTCTTAAAGTTGCCAAGTTTGAAGATCCCTGCTATAGAAAATATAGAGGAAGTTATACCTAAAGATAAGCTTATTATATAATATTTGGAGGTCTTCAAACAGAAGTTGGATCTGTCAGAAGTGCTCCAGTAAATTCTGCACTCATTATGTATGTTTTGACTTTTATTCGGGTTTTCTCCCGTGTCAAATTGGAAGTGTCTTGATGCGGGAGAAAACCCGAATAACCAAAGACCTACATACAAACATATGTCTTTAATAATTTTGAATATTAGAATCCCAGGTATGGACATTTAAAGTCAATCAGATAAAAATAAAGAGCTCTGGGATGTAAGGTAAAAGGCTTTTTTATTAATTGCTGAGGTTGTTAACGAAAGCTCAGCAATTAATAAAAAATCCTTTTACCTTACATCCCAGAGCTCTTTATTTTTATCTGATTGACTTTAAATAAATATATATGTATATTCAGATTCTATATATACAGTTAATGCTACCAGTACATGCACATGAGGCATCTATGACAGTAAGAGCATAATGACAATGGAACCAATTAACTGGAATAATGTTGGATTGCTCTTCATTAATTTTTCAAACAAAGGCTAGACTGTCATCACTTGGGAATATTTTAATTTGGATGTCTGCATAGAGCAAGGAGTTGGATTATAAGTCTAAATGATTTCTTCAATTTCTTTAATTTTATAAAAACAACTTCAGAATTCTGTGTACGATGTGACAATTCTTGGAGGAAACCAGAATTTGATTTATCTCAATTCATTGATATGGTGCTGAAATTCTGCAGAACTAGAATTTGAGGGGTGGGTGGGGTGGAAGTAAGGAGGGGGATGAGGTATTAGGAGTTTTTATGCTACCTTGAAGGCCATGCAGCTGTCCCTCAATAATCTGGACAAGTAAAATTGACAAGAATTTTGTCAGTTTCCTCCTCCTTTTTAACATCTAGGCCAAGTTGCAAAGCATCAAGACTGTTAGGTATTCTATTTTTTTTTTTTTCACTTCACCATTAAGAAAATAAAAAAAAGTTTAAAAAATTAATTATATCGTTGCAGGAATGTCAGCCTGTTGCTGTCAAGCGAGCACCTTATGTTGGAAAAGTGGACAACTTCCCTGAATCAAAATAACCTCATAATATAGTTAGTATTCTTCAGGTAACTGTCTCATTTATTCATTATTTGCTTGAGTCCAAGCTTGGCAGACAAGTACAAATAGGCTCAAATCTTCATCCAATAATTTCTTTATTGGAGTAAAAGTATGTTAAATGACATATTGAGATCATTTTAATAGAACTTTGGAATTGTGAACCATTTCGACTAGACAAAGTAAGAATATGTAAGTCAGATAAAATGCAGAAGATAGCACAAAACCTTCCAGAAAGGTCACTTCTTATGATTTGGGAGGCCATCACAGAAGAGCCAAAATCAAAATATTTTTAAATTAGTATTGTGTCATAGGATTCCAAGGATTATTTTACTAATAATCTGTATTAAGCTGAAGTACACATTATCTTCCCTCTTCTTCCAAAAGGTTTTGATTATTTGGACATACTGGAAGATGTTTTGGTATAAGTAAGATTCTTCCCATTTCCATTTGTGTATTCTCCTGAAATCTCTCACTGCTAAACTATGACACTATGTTATAGGCTTGAATTAATCATCTTTTTTACAAATGCAATTCAAATATTGCTTTCCACCTTGGGGGTTTAGTAGTCAGTTCTTCTAGCCTCTAAAGACCAGGGCCTAATTAATTTAGTCACGTTAGTTCTGAATCCTGTAAATCATCTCAGCATTAGATGTTCTTGATTATTCTAAAGAACTTTTATAAATCTCTCCTAGTTTTTTATCTATTTCTCCTTCCACTCAGGAGATGCCAACAGGAGATGTGTTCTTATTATGCCTTATGAAAGTAACTTTGACAAACAGTTGACCTAGCCCTTTCCCTTGTGCACAATAGTCACGATCACACCTTAGTCCCTAAGGGAGGTTGGGCAATATATGCAACATGCACCAGATCCTAGATTTTTCTAGCATTATAAGTGGATGGCTCCTGATATGGATCAGGACCAACCTGTGTTGATTTGGAAGGGGTAAATCTTCCCCACCCATTTGCAACCACTGGAGTGCCCTTCCCCTTTAGCTCATGGTGTTTGCAACAGGATTTTAACATCAATGGCAAGAGAGGGAAAGCTTAACTCTCCTCAGTGTAGACACAGCAGAATATGCAATTTAATCTGTAATCAAAGCTACTTCACAGGATTGTGTGTGATGATAAAATAAGGCAATCCTACTATTGTGAGCTTCTTTGAAGAAAGGTAAAACCTTCTTTCAGTTGAGTGGTGACTTCGTGGACTTGTCCATGTAATTTTCTTTGCAACAATATGAAAAGTGGTTTGTCAACTGCCTTTTTCTGGGATTTTTTCCCTCCAAACTTTTAAAAATAGCCTATAACCAGGTCATTTCATAATGGTGTCCTATCCCATTACTAAGCTGATTTGACCACACTTAGCTTTTTGAGATGAGCTAAGGTTATGTGAGTTGATAGAGAGAAAAAATGGAATACAAATTACAGGAAAGCTGAACTAGAAAAGTGTTGGGTGCAGATCCTGTACATAATCTGAGTGGCGTGTTAAAAAAAAGCTTCATAACACAATCAAAATCTTTTGAAGAAGCAGGAGAAAGTCCTGAATTCCACAAGTCTTAGGTAGTAAATACAATATACTATAAGTATTGGCCTATTGATTATTGTACTTTATTCAGGTTTAGGATTTGTGTGCTTTCAGATGATACAGTTGTCCTACACTGTTTCTTTCACTAGAGTACTTCTGTAATAGAGACCCTTTCAGATGTGGGCTACAAGTTTTCAGAACCTAGTACAAGGGATTAGGCTAAAACAATCATCTAACTGCATTTTGCGTTCCTTTAACAGTGCTGTAGAATTTGTTTCAGCCAGAGCATGACTGCAATAAAGTCCTAGAATTGCAGAGATGGAAAGACTTAGGGGGAATCAATGATTTCCCCATTATGATTGAGGAAGGCATAGTTCTGACCAAAGAAAACCTGAGGAATATATTACCATCCTTAGAGGGATTTTTTTCTTCTTCTTTTGTGCACTCTAATTTTATATTGCCTCACTAGGTGACAAATTGCAAAGCAAAAGAGTGCTTTATATATATATATATATTGGAAGATTTATATCATATCATTTCCCTATTTCTCTATAGGTCAAAAGAGTTGCAATTCTTAATTTGTGTGCTTGAAGATTTCTGGATGATATACCAATCTGGTGGAACTGCACTGCCCGTTGATGTTTTAATCATTGCTATATCTTGCAAAATTACAGCAAGATCCTCTCTCTGTTCATGTACTTTAACTTTTAGAGAAATCACTGTTGTTTTTCCAGCACATGATAATCTCATTCTCGGATCTTCTCTTAGTGCCGGATTTATAGCAATTAGAGCTATCTGATTAGATGACATAGAGCACCTGCCATGATTGTCTGCTAGAATAAAATCTGGAGAGGATGAATTATTATTTGATTTGAATAGGATGCAGCTTCTTAAGTGCTATTTAACTCAACAGTCTTTGAAATAAATGTGTATAGCTTTAAGGCAGACGTCACATGATGTCGGGCAACGTATCGGGACAGTTTTGCCAGTGCCGGCAATGGGGTGGGCGCGGCTTCCACGTGACATGTCCGGCCCATGGACCGGCAGTTTGACATCCCTGCTTTAAGGCATGAGTTAATCTTAACAATGAACTGATTGAACTAGGTATATCACTTGATATTTGTATTTGAGAGCTAAGTGATGGGCTGTCCCTCCATAAATCATTTTGGAAAACCCTAGTTAGATTTCTTACTGCGGTCCCTTTCAGGATGTGCCCATCCAACACCTTTGTAGCATTCCAGAAGCAATCTGCTTCTCTCTGTTCACATGGCATTGAATCATCATTTGTATCTGTTCTTATGATTTAATAAGATTTTTGGGTTTGCTCTGGTTTACTGAACTTGGAACAAAGCTGGATTATCCCTAAGGACTGTTTGCAATGCTTTTCAATGACCTGTCTTGCCTCGCCATCTGAAGACAACTGAACTAGGGTTCTACAGTTTTAAGAAAATTCAATGGATCTGACTTGAGTAATTTTCTACAGCAAAGTAAATGTCTTTTTTCCTTGCCTCAAACAAAACAAAAGAGGGGTTCTGGGTTTTTCTATGTGCATTTGTCATTATTGGTAGAAGAATTGAACTCACCTGGTGATGATATATCAGAAAAGACAATGCCCAGCCACAAAACTGTATAGGGCAAAAATCAAGGAGAAGAGATTGGGCAAATCTTTTAGAAGGTATAAGAAAGCAAATTGAAAACACTATTGAAATAAATTGGGCAGCATATACATTTAATACATTATAGCTGGTCGCATAGTCAGCCAGATGTTTAGACTGGATTTGCATTTTTGTCCATCTCTTGAGTTCTTCCCAAGGACATAGCCTAGGTCCGTGGTGGAGAACCTATGGCACGGGTGCCACAGGTGGCACACAGAGCCTTCTCTGTGGGCACATGCACCATTGCCCCAGTCCTAGGCCTTCAGCTGGGTTTTATAAAACCTTTTTGCTTTAGACCTCCGCCGCCATGTGCAAAAAAAAAAAAAAAGGCTCAATCACTCAATCAATTTCAACTTCTCACAAGAAAAAAAAAAGATCTCGCAAAGTTGGAATTGATTGATTGAACTTTTTAGTCCCACCCAGTCTGTCGTTACCACTGCAGCCATGCCCACCCAATGGGCCATACCCATCCAATTGGCCACACCCACCCAATGGGCCCCACCCCACCAGAACCTGGCCTAGGCAGATGTTATTGTTTGATGATATTAAAGGTATTGTTTCAGGATATAAACTGTTCCAGCTAAAGTTGCTTTTTACAATTGACCAGTAGTAATTTTGTCAATGCTGATATTTTCAAGTGGTGCTCTACATGTTTTGGCATTGCATCCAAGGCACCTAATACTATTGAAATTGTCTTTGCTTTCTTTTGTCAAAGTCCTTCTACTACTATTTGCAAGTCATTGTATTTTCTGATTTTCTCCACTTCTTTCTCTTTTCCTCTACTGTTTAATAATTATTATTATGTATCTGGAAAGGAAATAATGTTTTTTTTTTAAATAAATTTTATTGAATAAAAAAGGAATTAAAAACATTGAACATGGTAAATCAACATTTGACAGATATCTCAGTCCATATTTACATTAATTACAAATAAATCTCTTAACAGTAACATCATTCTAATCTCAATCTTGGCTTTTCTCATTACAATGACCTCCGTTTTTTGTTTTTGTTTTTAAAGGAAATAATGTTTTGATGGGGTGTCAAAAATAGTCTGCTCAATTGAATGATCTTAAGCTAAATGGCACAATTTTGCAGTCAAATGTGAACCAGTACAAACAAAATAAAGCAAATGTTTTTGATTTATTTTTACTAATAGAGCCTTGCATTTCTTTAATGTTTCCAAATTTCATATTAAGGCAAAACACACACAAACATTTCAAGTTCAGGAGCTCTTCACCAGGCAAAATGTTGAGCTTGAGAACCTGTGGCTAATGCTGTAAAACAGGATTTTCTTTTTCCACATTTGTTTCTTTCTTCCTGGCATTTCCCAGTGCCTGGAGGATGGGAAACCAAAAATGCAACTATGAAGGAAGAAAGGAAAAAGAGAAGATTAGTTTTACTTTTTACAAAACAAGAGGTTTTTATTTGGTATCTGTTTCCTAAGCAGAATTGAAAAGCTAATGAAGAAAGAAAATTATGAGTGGACTCATTTCAGGGAGGATGAATTCTAAACATTTCTTCTCCTTCATCCTTCTGGTATTGATGGAGGAAGCAGGAAGAATAACCTCAGACACATATGCATTTCAATAATGTCTGTAGGTATTTGTGCAGAGACAATATCTACGTGAGTCAAAACATTACTTTTACAATAGAGAGATAACCAGTGCAATGTGGGTCTATGACCTGAGTAGCTTCCATATTTATTGAAAAATATGTGAAGATTCCCTTTAGGGCAATCTTGGGGAGAGAGAGTAGTATTGATCCTGGCTTTATAGATAAAGTATTGAGGTTGCTTTTTTTTGGTGGATTCTACAATTACATTCTGAACAAAGTTGCACCAACCAGCATTGCATTTCATGTTATTTACCATTTACCTTTGCAAATGAATTAAGTTTCCTTTTCATGTTTTTCTTGGAGAACTTGGATCTTCTGTTTAATAATTTTGTGTGCAGATACTTTATCCGTTTCATGTCTGTGCTTGGAAAGAATGCAGTTGCCACTAATATTTTAAGTTGTGTGAGTGTAGAAGTCAGAAGCCCCAACACTATTAGAAAGAACAAAATAATTCCAAGCTGGATCCATATAGTAGAGAGGGATATCTCTGGTTTGGGAATGCAGTTCTCCTCAAAAAGAGGCATCTTAAAGTAAATGGTCTTGTCAACAATCTCCCCATTGTTCAGGATGAATTTAGCTGCATTTTTCTGCATAACGGAAAATAAAAGATAAAAGTTATGCCAAGATCTATGCTGATCTTTGAAATGGCTACTACAAAATAATTTTAAATAAATTACAATGCACTAACAAAGGAGAATATTTGTAGCTCAGGGTTGAAATAAGGGTTGATCCTTGGTGCTTTCTGAGCTTGGTTGTTTTTTTGCAGCACTAGCATTGATGATGTTACCTAGTTTGGATAATGAAATGTCTGCAAGAAAACAAGTAAGCTCAGAGAGCACTAAGGACCCCTCAAATTACAATGCAATGAGGAGGTTTTCTCAATAAGATGTTTAGTTTATTTTCCTGCAACAGGATATTAACAGTCTCTTAACTGTCTGGCCTAGACCATAAGCCATTAGTATATCTTTCACATTTGGCAGTAGATGCAATATTTGGCAATGCTAAAAGCATCATCATCTGAATTATGACCCTGAATAAGAACAGAATAATGATGGAAAGGGATTAAAGATCCCACTTTCTTGCCCCCTTGATTCAGCAACGATCACCTATGTGCTTTGAATACAATAGGCAAGAACCTGTGAAACAAACTCAGATGGTTTCAGGAAGGAACAAGATTATCAGAGGGCTAAAATAGTGTTGCCTAAAGAGATTGAGGGATGGCTGGTGGGGGAATTCTGGGAATAGATTGTCTATTGGTGATGTTGCTTTGGCACTGCCAAACCCTATACTGAATCAGGAGGAAGGAGACTTAAATTGCTTATTCTTCTACACAGTCCCCCTCAGTAAATATTTGCTGTCATACTAACTCTGGAGTTAGATGCTGTGTTCTGTGATTAGAAGCAGGATCTCCATAAATTTGTAAAAGGCTTCTACATGACCCTCTAAAATCTAAATTAAGATGGTTGGATAACCATTTTTGAAGGAGGTTTCCACATAGAGTCTCCTTTCTGTTATCTTGAGCCCATAGCAGAAGCCAGCTTGTTTCCATTTTTTCAGAACTGAAACTGACCTGGCATTTCCCACTTTTTCTTGCAGAAGCCTATCTATTTGTGCAATGTCACACTTGGGCCAATGACCTAATAGAGGTTTGAACCTGCCTGGCTCCTATTAGTCACCTCAACAATATGACTGCTGGTCAATACACCATGCAGGGTGTTCTGCCAATTTAGTCACCAGTGTTGCTGACACATTTCTGGCAGGGAAGGAAGAACACTCCCAATTCAATCATATGCCAATGTGGTTTTGACATGTCACATAGATGTCAGTCTCCAAAACCAAGGAAGACATTGCTGAGCTTTTCTGAACAGTTTCCTTTATTGTTTCTCGCCTATAGACAGAAATCTTACCAAACTAAAGAAAACTACTTGGATCATTAAGTATATATTGTGAGAATTCCTAGGGAGGAGCTGCCTTAACATTCTTTCTCCCAACCAAACAATCTAAACTTCACTGTCTCTTATTCCTCAGTACTCCTTCCCACATGGGAATCCAGACTATCAATGATTCGTACATTTCTTCCTGTGATTGCAATTGGCTGTATAGAAAGTGTCTGTTTGTACAGTGCTACTCTCTGTCATTGTGTGGGTAGGTCATGAGATCTGGGAGATCTGGGAGCTTCACAGTAAAACCTCTCCTCCTTTACTGAGAATCTAGGAAACACAATTCAGAGGATGCTGCCTCTAGTGTGTTAATCCAGTGTACCAGATGCTTTAGGAGAAGAGAGGGAAGCATCCTTACAGTCAGTAAGTCAACGGATATAACTCAAGTCCCAGAAACTAAACATTTAAACCCCAAATGGAGTGTGACCAAAATATAAACAAATGGTGACTTAATTATTCCTTGCCAAGATATCATACCAACAGAAAACAAGGAAATTGGGGAGGCTGGCCTCAATTTTTTCTAGCAAGCAAGGAACACAATGTGATTTCACAGAATTTGAAGACATGCAAGAATGTTGTAATAGTAATAGTAGTAAAGTTGGAAGGGACCTTGGAGGTCATCTAGTCCAACCCCCTGCTCAGGCAGGAAACCCTACACCATTTCAGATAAATGGCTGTCCAGTCTCTTCTTAAAAACTTCCAGTGTTGAAGCATTTACTGCTTCTGGAGGCAGGCTGTTCCACTGATTAATTGTTCTCACTGTCAGAACGTTTCTCCTTAGTTCTAGGTTGCTTCTCTCCTTGATTAGTTTCCACCCATTGCTTGATGTCACTGTGGGCAGGGTGATGTACCCTGCCCACAATGACATCATGACATAGGCATTTAAAAGAGGGGCTTGTGCGGTAACAGTAGTAGTAGGTGGGTCTTGCCATATTTTGTCCCACTTTGTTGCAGATATCTCTGAGAGCTTTTCTTGCTTCACTGCGAGCTCATCCAGATCAGATTATGATGGATGGTTAAATCCCCCCACTCTCGCCATTGGTCAGACCTTGCCTCCTCCTCTCCCAGTTCCATCCCACATGAAGGATAGCAATTTGTGGAGGTTTTTCCCTCTGGGGATCAACCAAGGCTGCACCTAAACTGAATGATGATTAGATATCTATAAGAAGCCAAATCTTCCTTAGACAAGATCACCATTTTATTCTCTTTGAGTGCCAAATGCCCGTTGAAAAAAATCCTTGCCTGAATATATGAGGGCTGGATAACCAGCACACTTCTCCAGCCTTGTGCCTTATAGATACGTTGGACATTTGGATTAATAGTATGATTTCCCTTGGATAACTTTGTGATTTATAGTATTTTCTAGCATCACTCAACCATAGTTGGGCTAAAGTAACAGTAATGAGGGCAGGTGGCGTGTGGGGTGAGCAAGCAGTTATAAGGTCCCAAATGAAGAAGAACAATTGCACTAAGATATGAAAATAGAAAGTAGCATTCTGGCAAAGAAAAGAGAAAAGACAATTGCCAGGAAAGATAGATATTCCTTTCCCATCTTCTCCCAACTGCTGTGAAGCAGTAATGGCTGGTACTTACAATGAGGTATCATATCTACTGAGAGCCAAAGGTTTGCTTTTATATGTATAATTTCCAGTGTCTGAGATTCAGAGGCTGGGATGATGATATCATGCAGAGCTGAAGTTTTCCCCTTACTTAATTTTTTAAAGCTTACTAAAATTGCTGTTTTATGCATGCAAAGGCTCTCTGAAAGCTTCCCAGACTTTATTTCTTTGGCTTTCTGTCAGAAATCAATGGGAAATTATGCCATCAATATTTCATGATTTGCTGACCAATTTATATAGCAGAGTCTGGATGAAGTGAGGGCTGAGCGCTCCCACCACCGTCCTCCTGCACACAAAAGGCAGACTGAACGGCAGAAGTTCCTAAATCTGGGCTGCCCTGATTAAGAGACTATCTCTGTCTCCAGGCTTCTTAACAGATCCATTTAAGTGGAACTAGCTAAGAGATAAGACCCAAACAGCACACAGAGGGTTGAGTTTTGAGTAAGTGCAGCACAAATGGGCCTCTTAAAGTTTTAATACAAATATAACCCAGATTTGAACAGGTACTATTCACTTTTCAATAACTGGTATTTGAAAGAACTAACACTTTTCAAGTTGCTCATTAATTATATGTCATCGGGTGAACAAACAACTCAACTAGTTAACAATATATTTTTGTTCCTGATGATGATTTCCTCCCGCTCAGCAATTTTAGGAGGTAGGTGTTAAAAAAAATCACCCCGTTAAGGAACATTTTACCCTTTGGGTGAGAATATAATTGAACCGTTCTATGTTTCTGTTTTTCCAAGGATCCTTGCAACACTTTGTTTTGTTCTATGATTTCCAAAATTGTGGACAGCTGAGATGTTTACCACTTGTGGATCAAGCTTTCAGAATGAGATAGCCAATGGTCATGATTTTTGTTGAGTTTGGTGATATTCTAAAAGAAGAATGAGAGGTACTCAAAATATTTTAGATGGTTATTTATGGATATATTGATTGAATTTTATATCTTTGGGTGTGTATGTATGTGTTGGGTATAGGAATGTGGTGAGCATTAGATGGAAACAAACTGAATGTGGTGAGCATTTAGATGGAAACAAACTGAAGAGTTCCAATAGAGTCACTGTATCAATAAGATGAGCACAATAGAAATAGGTTAGGATGAGCCAGGTGAAGAGAATCAAGAATGTTAAACCTCCTACAATCCCACCAATACCATCAATGCACACATATACTGTACTGTCATTATCTGATCAATATGATGGTCATAGAAAGTTGCAATATCCTAGCATTTCTTCCTTCATTGTATTAGACAATTCAATGTCTAATTAAACATACATTGGACAATTTTGGGCTACAGCTCCATTCAATTCCAACAGCAGAGCCATACTAGGCTGATCTAATTCAACATCTCAATATTATCATATTGGAGAATAATTTAAATAAATGTTTAAACAAAGATTTTAGTTCACAGCTTAATTGCTTATTTTTTCTGGCAACCAGCCACTATTAACATTCATTGTAGGTATACAAAGATTGTTTGTGATTGATCAGTGAAAAGGAGCAAAGACTTGTTTAGCTCAATAATTGTCTCTTGCAGGATGTTTACATTTATGCTCCTCTCCTCTAGCTATATGTTCCAAAATTTGTCATACAATGTCTCAAAGAAGATCTTGGAAAGAAACTTCTGCTTTTCTGTCTTGAATAGGTGTCTTTAAACCTACTTCAGTTTTCCCTGCCTGGTGTTTTGAGTTTATTTTTTTGTTGGAAGCAGGCCATTTCTCTTATTGCTACTTTCTCGTACATTTCTTTGAAATACATTTCTCTTCACTCTCAGAAAAGCCCTTTGGAGTAGGGAAAGACAGAGAATTTTCAGAGAGATAATGAAAACCAAACAAATCCCTTGGCTATTCAGAATTAAACCTTTTAGAATTTCAGGGATGTCTCCAAGGTATGGTCAAAAAAGTTCAAGATCACATCTGCGATGGAAGCTTTGCCTGTTTTTTTATGAACAACACACAGTATCATGGTCGACCTCTTCATTCTTTTGACCACACCCTACAGACAACTTTTATTACACTAAAAAACTTTATTTTTCACTGGAGATAAAATTAGCTGACATATACATGGAATAGTAGACATTAAGTTGCCTTGTCCCACTGTAAGGTAACATTTATTATATTCTTCCCTATTTTATTGTAATTGGAAGATAAGAACCAGTTACATCAGTGAACCCAAATGACTTGTTTGCTGGAAAACATACGTTTTTCATAATTGCTTCTTGTAAAATAATTTCCTCAAGGGTGGGAAGAAAAATTATTGTTCAGTGCTAATTCCTTTTTTTTTTTTTTGCTGTTTTATGGAGTGCTTCAATATTTCAGAACTGTGTGTTGGATCACAGTTTTATGTCAAATTCAACATTTGCTAATTTTACATATGTATTCTGAATTATTATCCTACTTTTTTCTAAGAAATCAACACAACCTACAACAAACACCACAAACATAAGTATGCAAAACTGGAACTTTTCCAAGTTTGAAATGGTTATTCCCAACCATTTAGGAAGAGTTCCTAGCTTAAAATACTTTCAGAAGGATCAAAACAAGCAGGGCAAATATTTTGCATACCATCAGTCACAACATAATTTGGGCTGAAACTAATCCAAAAGCATGCATTAAGTTCAATAAACACATGACTACAGCTAAAAAGCATTTTCAAAGAGTCTTCTGATAATCTATGCAATGAACTTGAAGTCAAAAATATTTGAAGGAAAAATTCCCAGATGAAAAATTTCAAGTGGTGTTTGCAACAGTTATATTTTAAAAAATCTATTTACTCTCCTTTTAAAAAGCAAGAATGTGAGATAACTTGCTGAGAGCAAAGCAAGTGAGCAAACAGAAAAATTCTTAGGTTGTGCCATTGTATCAGAGAAACATTTTGATGCCTGCTGAGAATTATTTAGCTTCCAGAGTTATGAAGTGATTGTGTGTCCTTAATATAAGGGGTTGCGCAATGTTCCAGTTTGCCCAATAATTGGCAGGAAATACAGGCCATAAATCTGCTGAATGCTGAGTCACTCATCACTAGCAAGCAGATCTGAAAACCTCAGCTGAAAAAAGAACATTTCTAAGTCGTATGCCTAGTGCCTCTTTGAGAGCTAGCAAAAGAAGATATATTTTTCCTTCCAGCAGCTTCCGGTAGCTCATGGGAATTAGAAATAATCTGGTAACAAATCTATTGGGGTTGACTTTAGTTTAATATGAAAAAGATATTCTCTTGAATATATGTGAGCCTTAAATGTTAATTTTGTCTATAGTTAACAAGCTTTTGGCTTCTTGGTCTCTGCTTTTTACAGTTCCAGCCTCTGTTTTATGGTCAAGGAATTTATGTAGATCACTTGGCTGACAATGAAGTTAATAAAATCAATGTGGCACAGTGGTTAAGGGGATAGGATTGAGACTAGTGAGATCCAGGTTGTAATCAGTTATGGAAACTTAAAAAAAAAGGAATGGTTTTCCCTGTCCAGTCATGTCTGACTCTAGGAAGTGGTGCTCATCTCTGTTTCTTATCTGAGGGAGCCAGCATTGTCTGAAGACACTTCTACAGTCATGTGGCCAGCATGACTATACGCCACACACAGAACACTGTTACCTTCCTACCCAATAGATAGCAATAAGTGATACCTATTTATCTACTCGCTTTCGCATGCTTTTGAACTGCTAGGTGGGCAGGAGTTGCTTGGGTTGTGAACCTGGGCTGTCAGCTTTCCAGCTGACAAGCTCAACATATTTAATTGCTGAGCGATCACACTGGCCAGGGAATTCTGGGAGCTGAAGTCCCCACCTCTCAAATTTGCTAAGGTTGAGAAACACTGCAAATCTAGATAGCATACTAAAAAGCAGAGACATCACCCTGCCAACAAAAGTGCGTATAGTCCAGGCCATGGTTTTCCCAGTTGCAATCTATAGCTGTGAAAGTTGGACCATAAGAAAGGCTGAGCGCCAAAGAATTGAGGCCTTTGAACTATGGTGCTGGAGAAGACTCCTGCTAGTCCCTTGGACTGCAAGGCGTTCAAACTGGTCAGTCCTAGAAGAGATCAACCCCGACTGCTCTTCAGAAGGCCAGATCCTGAAGTTGAAACTCAAATACTTTGGCCACCTAATGAGAAGGGAGGACTCACTGGAGAAGGGCCTAATGCTGGGAAAGATTGAGGGCAATAGAAGAACGGGACGACAGAGAATGAGATGGCTGGATGGAGTCACTGAAGCAGTAGGTGTGAACTTAAATGGACTCCAGAAGATGGTAGAGGACAGGAAGACCTGGAGGAACGTTGTCCATGGGGTCGCAATGGGTCGGACATGACTTCGCAATTAACAACAACAACAACAACTCTCCTACCTTATTGGGGTGTTGGGATAAAATGAAGTTCATCCCCACACGTCACTTGAAAATGGATAAAATACAAATATTAAGAAACAAATGCATACACAGGAAGAACGCTACACAAAGGATCTTTTACCCCAGTAAATCTCCAAATTTGGGCAATTTAAGAAATCACTTATTGAAGAAACTAAAAATAAGCAAAGTGCCTTTATATTGGCTGAAGTTACAGACCCTACTTAAGCCAGCCAGATAAAGACAATCCCATTGCATTTTCCATACCTTCTAAAATTGAGTTTATGATTTTCACTTTCTCTCTCTCAGGCACATCAAACATGCCTCATGACAAAACAATGGTTGCTTTCAGCTGCCTTAAACATCAAGCTTGGTGTTGCTTTTGCTTTTGTTTAATATTCAGGCCCTTCAAACCTTGGGGTTTTTTAAAATGCCATGCCTACCCACCTCCAGGTTTTTAATCCTATTTTTTAGCATAATTTTATTCTGTACAAAATCTGTATTTGAAGCAATATAAAAAGTGCTGCACTGTAGCTAAGATACTTACATGGTAATACAATTTGAAGTGGACCTCTAGCTCAGGGAAATCATGGAGATGCTTGCTCACGGAAAAAATGAGCCTGTAAAGCAAATAATCTACTGCTGCAAACAGGACCCAAATGCAAAGGTTAGCAAGCACAGGGAGAAAAAAGCGTGCTGTGCATTTCCTTTCTTTAGGTGTTTGGCAAAAAGATGGTACCATCGAGTATACATTTTTTTCTTCTTTACTCAGGGGCAGCACTGAGAGCTTTTGCTGCTGCCATACTTGTTCATTGTACTTGATGAGCCCTCGTGTAATGTACGTATTCTTAAACTTGATGGTCTGTGGGCTCAGGAAGTTTCGGATGAAGAGATACGTCCCAAGCAGAACCAAAATTGTCCCCAAAAAAGGCAGCACTTTCTTGCCCAAAAAGGACTGTAGAGCTATTATGGAGGAGATCTGGCTAGTAATGTTATGAATGCCCAGTCTTGTTTTTTCCAGCTGCAACTTCAGGTTTTCATCTGAAACCAAGAAAGACACATTTAAGCTGTCACGCACCACAAATAGATGTTCTGTAATCTTCAATTGACTGTAAATCCACCGAATTGCTTTAAGATGGGTGAGGTTAAGGAAAGTCCAATTCTGGGAATCGAGAGTACAAGTCACACTATCTGCCAGCTGCTTCAGGTTAAAAAAAATATTTTGGATGTTGCCAGCAACCACCATAGCAGTTCCAGCAGCAATGAGAGTGTTTCTGCCTTCGCGTAATCCGCAAGATAGAAAGAATATCACCACAAAGCAGCGAAGAGACCGGAAAAAGTACAGATTTGCAGACAGGAGAATCCATAAAATATTGACTGTGATGATAGAAAGCATTGGATAGTCCAATAGGAAGGAATACCCAGGTAGAAGCAGGAACAGGTTTGCTATTAAACTGATGGAGGTGCAAAGAGCAAAGAGGATCAGCTTATATTTCCAGCTCATCTTCCTCTGGGTCACAAAGAGTTCCCATGATTGCTGGAGAAAAGTGACAAAATCCATTTTCTTTATACTTCAGAGATCCAGTACATTCACTTGGTGGAAATAAAACAACAACAAAGGAAATTAATCCTTCAACATAGAGCTTTATTCAGGCCCTTAATAAGCATGTAGCCAAATGATTGCTATCCTTGGCATATGTAGCAAGCAAGCAAGCAGCTCATCTCTATAGTTTTACCTTGAGGCAAGAAAATGACCTTGATTTCCAGGATCTTTGTTGTGATTTCATTGGCTGAGGACAGTGTTTCTCAGCCTTCGTAATTTTAAGCTATCTGGACTTCAACTCCCAGAATTCCCTAGCTAGCATGCTGCTGTTCTAAATACAATGGAACTCGCTATACAGATCAAAACTAAAGCAATCTTGCAACTTGTAATTAATTAAGCAATTATAGACAAGCTTACAACAGAGTAAGCTTGATTAGGTCCACTGACCAAATGCAATTCACACTTGAAATTGTATTAATCTTTCCTAGAAAATAACCTACATTGCTCACAGTGGACCTTGTTTCAGTATAGTCACACAAAGAAAGATTGTACAATGGAACTAAAAGAGAACCAAAATGTTACACAATAGCAAGGAGCCTCAAGCAAAGCAATAAGTCTAACTTCCTACACTGTAGAATTTTTTTCCCGAAATACCTCAAGTGAACAAAATCTTCATTGTCTCCCAAGCAGCCTAATCTGTTTTTAATACCTAATACCATAAAGAAGTTTTTCTTAAATTTCATTTGAAAATTAATCTTCTTGAAATATTCATCTACTATTATGAGTTTTTTTCCCTTCAAGGACCACATTCACAGTGCTTAGAGGAGACATACTTGCAGTTGTTAGACATCCAAATATGCTTTCATTTCATCTGTTTTTCCCAGATTAACATAACCAATTCTCTTAATTATTCCACATAGATTTGAGGTTTGGTCTCTCAACCATCCTGCTTGTCTTCCTCTGAACACTTTCAGAAATACCGGTGTTGCTTTTGAAATGTGGTTCCCCAAACTAGAAAATTATCCTATACATCTGATCCCCAAAGAAGAGGAATACAACATCCCATAGACTTCTAGAAGAACCTTACAGCTAGCAAATACATTATGCCTAGCCAACAAATTCTAAAGCTTACTCACAAGTTTCTCCACTACAAGCATCCTGTTAAATTCTTTCATGTGATATATTTCTTGATTCTGATGAGAAAAAATAACGGGTGGCAATAAAAGAGTTCATTATGAATCACTCTGCTCATGGAATCCACCCATCAAATGCGTGGGACAAATGACAAAGCAGCTGAAATGGTTCTGTTTTTGAAGGTGATTAAATGTGGAACTGTTTGCAAGACAAATTACTAATGATCTGGGCACAACAGTAAATATTGTTAAACAAAGGTTAGCTACAGACTCTTTAGGGTCCAACTTTCAGGGGTAGTCAGCCTTGGCTTTTTTATGTCTCGTGGACTTCAACTTCCAGAATTCCTGAGCCAGCATGGCTGGCTCAGGAATTCTGGGAGTTGAAGTCCACGAGTCATAAAAGAGCCAAGATTGACTGCCCCTGAACTAGATGGACCCTGAAATATATGAGCAGCCGTCACTTATTCTGCTGCAGCTCGCAAAAAAAAGAAAAAATTGTGGAAACTTGCTGGAACCCTGGGCTCTTCTGTAGGCTCAGCTTGGATCACAATTCAATGTGGTTTTTGTCCACCAGGGAGAGAAGCTGCTAATGGAGTTAATAGTTGCTATCCTGGGATAATAACAAGTTTCAGGATTTGAAGAGTGTTAACGGTCCTTCATCCTGACCATCACATTTATTAACAAGATGCCCACTTGTTGAAAACAACTTGATGAAAACAAACAATAAAGATCTGGAATCTTCAGATCTTTACTATTATTTATTTATTGCCTTTTAATGATAAAAAAAAGGGAAAGAAAGAAAAAAAATACAAGGATGACAAAGATGGAAACACATAAATTGTCAAAGAGAAGAGAGAACATAAAGAAAAAAACAACACATCAAAAAGGCTTTAACGAAACAGTAAAAGAAATACAAAAGAAAACTGTATTGTAGTATGAATATGTAATATGAAAATCAGAGCTAACTGTAAGAAAGAACTGCAACTATTTCATAATGGCTTGCAATGATGTTGAAATCTGTCTGAAAGAACAAGTTCAACCAAGGTTATAAAGACATGTGGTAAAATAATTATCTGAGTATTAATGTTCACACGTTACCAGGATAATCAAATATGCTTTTCTCATTGAGGACACCAGCTAAAAGTTAGGATTGTTTCTGCAGAACTTCTATGTCTCATTGCATGTTTATGTCTGCACTTAAATAAAGTATTATTGGATTCAAATCCAGAAAATGTTCTCTGATGACCAAAATCTAACTTGATTTTAAAAGTACCAGTTATTCATCTGACTGCGTACCAGATTGCAGTTGTTGATGAAGTGCCTTAAAAATGGCTTATTTTTTAATTATTATTAATTTATTTCTTATAGTCTGCATCAGAATGTTACATCAGAATTCTATGGATTGATCACAGGATATTTGCAAGCTTAAAAAGCAAGCACAACAAAAAGTTCAAATAAAAAGGTGAAACAAGTAAGGTATATTAAGAAATAGTAAGAAGAGATTATGAACATACAAAAATTTAAACTGAACATCCACAACAATCACTATTCCACGGGAACATAAATAGTGAAATGCAAATGTAATTTTAAAATGCCTGGAGGAAGACAAATATTTTAGCTTGATTTTGGAAATACATCAGTGTAGGTACTAGGCGGGCCTCTTTAGGGAAGGTAATTGAGTTACTTACAAAATAATAAAGAAGGGATAAAAAAATCAAAAACATTTGCATTGCTTTAAAACGGTCATGTTAATAAACTTATTATGATATAGCATTTGAGGAAGATGGATACATGGTTGTCTAAAGGAGAAGGAGTGGCAGAACCTGGGGGTGGAGTTAAAAGAGGAATCAGCCTAAAATCCCTACATAATCATAAGCAAAATAAGTTCAACCTCCCTCCCTTGAATTCCATTGACCCTTATCTAACCCCAAGTAGGTATTAACTATCAGTTGAAAATATTCTTGTGCATAGGCATGATTAACAATAAATCAGTTTAATTGAACCTTCACACGTGGACCTGGTCTTACACACCTGACATTGTCCCTGGGACAGAATTCTACTTGACTGTAGTAAATCAACTTTCTCTTCAAATTCAGTCCATATAAAGTGAATAATATTGGTATAGTTACATTCCTCACTAATAGGCATTCTGATTAGAACTGTTGATCATTGTGGGCAGCAAAATGGAAGCCAGTCATCTACAATAACTATCTTAATCCTTTCCAGAGAAAATTTTGAGTCACTGAGCTATGCTGGCTGGGGAATTCTGGGAGGTGAAGTCCAACCACATTAAAGTTGCTAAGGTTGAGAAACCCTGCTAAAGATTACCAGTGCCCTTTCCAAAGCAATGCCAGGTGACCATACTCAGAAACTGTCAGCTATAAATTGTAGTGCAGTAACCGAGATTTCTTAATAATATGTCCATTCTTTCAAGATATTGTGGTCTTGTGAATTCCCAGTAACTCAGAGAATGTTGGAGGGCAAAACTGTCAAGTAAAGTTTACTTAGGAGTGACTGCTGCATAGCAATTGGAGATGCCAACTCATTGCCCCATTTAACAACTTCCATAAATGATAACACACACACACACACACACACACACACACACACACAGAGAGAGAGAGAGAGAGAGAGAGAGAGAGAGAGAGAGAGAGAGAGAGAGAGAGAGTTGCTGCTGCAGTGCAGATCTATTTTCATGGCCTGAAAGGGCTCTCATAAAAAAAGAAAAGAAAGAAACTGCAGAAAGAACTGCAATGTATTTTCATCTTTTCCTTCCATTCAATTCTTGAAATTCCTTGCCTAGCATAATCACAGCATATCTCCTAGTTGCAGAGCTATTCTGTATGTCCTCTCAACAGTCAAGTCTTGATTTATGGAAGATTTTCAATTAATGCGCAACTGATACAAGGTGATGTTTTAGCTCTGTTGTCGTACTATGCAGCATGGAATGCTTTCAGCAATGTTCTATTTTGTCCCCAGGAAGATTTTTGTAGCGTGTCTAGCAGAGTATCAGAAACAAATAACAGTAACCTACCCAAGACTGTATATTCTCTTCCAAGCAATTACATTTATTGTTGTTATCCGCATGGGTCCATATGAGCAAAGTCAGCTAACTGTCGATCTCCTTGTTCAGCATTCTGCTTTCAGGGAATAAGCGCAGCCAAAAGATCTGCTTTGGGAATAGCAATTGTTGATATTTGGAAACACAGCTTTTTGGGGTTTTTTTGCAGCCTCGGAAGAGGGTGCTATGGGGAAAAAAAGCAGGATGTACCCAAAATGCTCCCTGAGAACCAAGGAAAGCCACCACAGAGAGGGATTTAAACAAGGGGATACATATTTGACTTCATAGTCTCAATGCACAGATAACCTGATACAGAAAAAAATATGATCAGTTATGTGGTCCACCTGCATAGGATTAGAAACTGGCATAGGACCACACCTGCAGAAATGGGTTTAAAAAGTAAACATGGGGGCTATAGCCCCAGGGTCAATGCCCTAGCCCTGTTTAATGTGTGTTGCTGAGGGCCTAGGCTACTACCTGCTAACAAACTATTAAGAGCTTTTATAAGTCATTAAGTTGCTTTAGTCAGATCTACTGTATTTTAATCACCTTGGCCCTGCTTTTGCTTGATATAGCCATTGTTAGAATCAGCAGTTAGCTAACGTCTATCTTGACGTTATCTAACTTATCGGAAGAAGAGATTGATCACAAATGCTTCAGTTATAGGAAGTGTTAGGCAAGCTGATCAGTTGTGGATTTGTAACTTTGCTAAAGAATTTTGTAAGTAGGGCCAGTAATGACAAAAGGAAATGTAATGTGGTACTTTGTTGAAACTGTGGTCAAGAATGACCAGGCAAAGGTCTGGAGGTAAAAAGTTCATTGTTAGCATGTTGAAAAGCACAGCCAGAGTGAAGAGCTAAGGTAATTAAATGCAAACCCATCCATGCTTATTAGGGGATGTTAGCCTAAAATGTGCATGTCTTCAATAAATCAGAAAAAAA